GCTTATTCATGCTCAGTGACGTTGAAAAATATCAGGTTTATGTGGAGATTACACCTGAGAAGCATGATCCTCCTGAATGTTCAACAATTCAGCTTTGACCAATCTGAAAGTTCTTAATCATAGTTCTTTTTTTGTGTGCAAAGTTCTTAATCATAGTTATCTGATAACCTTCTCCACTTGAAATCAGACCCAAAATCCCAGAGCCAATTACTTTGGTTGATGACAAAAAAAAAAAAAAAATTCCTCAGCATTATACCTTTTCCTTTTCAGAATTAATAATTTCATGCTTTCTTTACCTTTATTTAGTTTTGGAGCCATAAAAATTAAATTATAAAATCCCAAAAACGGTTCCACCGGTCCAACCACTCAATTTTGGCCAATTCCCAAATAAGCTTTTCTCTTCAAATTCGAATCAAATTTTCTCCTTTCATTATCCAAATGTCAGGACTCGATATCTATCCTCACGATCCTTCTTCTTCTTCAAGCTCTATCGATCTCTCCAATGAAGCTTTCTTCAACACCGGTGGTTTGTTTCTCGAACCACCAGGTGTTTCCTCTGCCTTCTTCGACTCGATCTCCTCCAAATGCGTTTCCTCCGACTCCGAACCGATGCATTTTCCCGGTTACTGGAGAAACAAAACTCGTCTTCGCTCAAGTAAGAACTTGATGTTCCTGTCCGTGAGCTTGAGTAAAGACAGATCTGAACAGCAATGTAAGAATGCTTTGGCGCAAAACGACGAAATTCCTGGCAAGGATAATGGAAAACGAAGTGTTATCGGTGGAGTGAGGAGACGCGGGACCATGAACACAAGGAAGCATCTCTGGGCTGGTGCTGTAGCTGCCATGGTTTCAAAGTATATATTGTTGAATTATAACGCATATAACTTGTTTGATGAAATGTCTCAACCAAAACCATAATTGTGACTTTGATTTTAGTATTGGCATTAATACTGCACTTTTTGTTGTTGTTGTTGGCAGAACATTCTTAGCTCCACTTGAGAGACTAAAGCTTGAATATACAGTTCGTGGTGAACAGAGAAACTTGTTGGTGGTCGCTAAGTCAATTGCGACTACACAGGGCTTGACTGGATTCTGGAAAGGTAATTTGCTCAATGTTCTCCGAACTGCTCCTTTCAAAGCCGTCAATTTTTGTGCCTACGATACGTATAGAAAGCAATTGCTTAAACTCGCTGGGAATCAAGAAGCTACCAACTTTGAAAGATTCGTTGCTGGTGCTGCTGCTGGGATTACTGCTACTGTGCTCTGCTTGCCACTCGATACTGTAGGTTCTTACTCTTTAAACCATATTAGATCAAAGATGAGAAAGTTCTCTGCTTTAGAGTGACTTAAGTCTAGTGTCAGTTTTCGAGAGGAAGATATGAAATGTGTTCTTATACTGTCACAGATACGAACCAAACTAGTGGCTCGGGGTGGAGAAGCCTTGGGTGGAATCGCAGGAGCTTTTCGGTATATGATCCAAACCGAAGGGTTGTTGTCACTTTACAAGGGTCTAGTCCCGTCCATAGCAAGCATGGCTTTGTCGGGTGCAGTTTTCTATGGCGTTTACGACATCCTTAAATCATCCTTTCTGCATACACCAGAAGGCCGGAAAAGACTGATAGACATGAAGCAGCAGGGACATGAACTCAATGCTCTAGACCGGCTCGAGTTAGGACCCATCAGAACTCTCATGTACGGTGCTATCGCAGGTGCTTGTACTGAAGTGGCCACATATCCTTTTGAAGTAGTGAGACGACAGCTTCAGATGCAGATGGGTAAAAACAAGCTCAATGCTGTAGCTATGGGATTCAATATCATTGAGAGAGGAGGCCTCCCAGCTTTATACGCTGGACTTTTACCTAGCTTGCTCCAGGTTTGCATAATACTTTATTCCATTACTAAACTTAACCTGTGTCTATTGTTTCCAAAAGCTTGATATGTTCTGTTACGTATCTCCAGGTATTGCCTTCGGCTTCAATAAGTTACTTTGTCTACGAGTGTATGAAGATAGTGCTTAAAGTAGAATGACAAGTTTTCAAGATTAAGATTTTGGAAGAGTACTAACACATAAAGAACTCATTCATTACACAATGCATTGAAAGATGAATCAATCTATAACACTATGCTTAATTTAAACCTCGTCCTCGTGGAGAAGCATATTGGGGATTCCTTTGTTAACCGAAAACTTCCTACCGGTTTCTGGGCAGACGAGTGAGCCTTCCTCAAGATGAAGCTCGAGCAGCGCGTGGTGGAATTTCCTGAGGAATGATTCGTCAGATTCCAGCGTCTTTATGTCCGGTGCGTTATCGGGAAGTTCGGTGTATTCCATAGAACGTGCACCGTCCACTAGAGCTTTCCAATCGATTTTGGCAAACATGTGCTTGAGAAAATCCGGGTTGAAATCGACCTCTTTCTCGACTATCTTCTCGGGTTCGATACGTAGAGGAAACTTGTTAACCACTCCTTTAATGTTGCAAGACAACATGTTGTGCACTATCAACCTCATCTTTCTCGTTCTCTCTACAACAAGCAAGAGACGCGCGAGGAAGACGAAAGTGTCTTGGTAGCTAACGATAGTACCCTAATGGACTTGCGAGCTTTTTATGAGTATAATTTAGTTTTGGTAGCTAACGATAGTACCCTAATGGACTTGGTAGCTAACGATAGTACCCTAATGGGCTCCATCAACCGTTGACTATATCGTTGAGAAAAAATAATCGAAATGATAAACAATTGGAAAATGTAATAAAGTTTAATTTCATGGTTGTGTACTTGTGTATAACAATTTATCAATTAAATTTTTCATTATAATTTCATATACAATAAACTGATAAAGTAATAATTTACTACTAGATGGTAATATTTGTATACTTATAAATAAATAAAGAAAGCAAATTATCTAAAACCAAATCACAAAGATAACAATTACCTTTGCTTTCCAAATTTTTAGTATGCATTTTCACAAAGAAAGCAAATTATATTACCAAAAATTAATTGTATGCATTTGTGTTTAAGCAGTTACCAAAGTAAAAGCATGCAAAGTAGCTAATAACGTTAGATTTGGTGTGAATTAAAAAACTAATTCATGAAAACCATACCAGAATTATTTAATTTTAATTTCAGTGGATATAAATTTCTCTTATGAAAACGACATTAACGAAGGAGAGCCAATGCTTCGTCGTCAAATTTGATCATTTGCGGAAATCGAACCAACTTAGGGTTTTACTTCTCATTTCTCTCTTCAATTTCGTCTCTTGCTTCCATTTTCTAAACTCAAATTCGCAAATTTCGCAGATTTAATTCAGAATCCAAATGCCCAAGATCTGCTGTTCTCGTTCCGCTACACAAGTAAAAATCCAAACTTTTTTCATTTTATCAGAGTTTTCTGGTGGTGATCTTTGTTAATGTGTTTAGGTTGTGGTAGCACAAAAATCAAACTCGGGTAAAGGAAGAAACAGTGAAGGAAGAATCAAGTATGGGTTTAGTTTGATAAAGGGGAAATCTGACCATTCAATGGAGGATTATCATGTTGCTAAGTTTATGAATTTCAATGGCAATGAATTGGGGCTTTTTGCAATCTTTGATGGTCATAAAGGTGACAGTGTAGCTGCTTATTTGCAGAAACATCTCTTCTCTAATATCCTTAAAGATGTAAGTTTTATAATTATTGTTGCTTTTTGTATATGTTGTGATTAGTGTGATATATAGATAAGTATATTGTGTTGATTTTTCCGTATAGGGAGAGTTTTTGGTTGATCCTCGAAGAGCAATTGCGAAAGCTTATGAGAATACAGACCAAATGATTTTAGCAGATAATAGAACGGATTTAGAGAGTGGCGGTTCGACTGCTGTGACTGCGATTTTGATCAATGGGAAAGTTTTGTGGGTAGCTAATGTTGGCGATTCGCGTGCTATTGTTTCTAGTCGAGGTAAAGCAAAACAGATGAGTGTAGATCATGATCCTGATGATGATACTGAGAGGAGTATGATTGAGGGTAAAGGTGGATTTGTGACCAACAGACCAGGTTAGGAACAGCCCTTTTACTGATCTATCATTATATATTAGGATGATTCTGATGTTTGTGAATTGAACAGGTGATGTTCCTCGAGTGAACGGTTTGTTAGCTGTCTCTCGCGTCTTTGGAGATAAAAACCTTAAAGCATATTTGAACTCAGAGCCTGACATTAAGGATGTCACCATTGATAGTCACACAGATTTTCTTATTCTGGCTAGTGACGGTATTTCGAAGGTGAAATTGCGGTTAAAGATTACTAGTTAGTCTGGATTTTTACATATGGAGGTGATTAATGGGAATCATTTTGTTGAAACTTATTGAACAGGTGATGTCAAATCAAGAAGCAGTTGACATAGCTAAGAAGTTGAAAGATCCAAAGGAAGCGGCGAGGCAAGTAGTTGCTGAAGCATTGAAAAGAAACAGTAAGGATGACATATCTTGCATTGTTGTCCGGTTTAGATGATAACCAAACCAAGACTCAGCCATATTGGATTTGGAGCTTGCTTTCGCTTCACCAAGATTATTTTGGGGTCCGGTTTAGTTTGATCTGGTTCTTGGTTACTTGTGCATTTTCAAGAACAGGACTTTAATAGGAATATTATTATATTATACTAGTTTGACAAAACCAGATGAGTTATATCATAAAAATTACATGAAAACTCGATTTTAAATGGTTTCAGTTTGTTCTTGGAGTCAGTCATGGATAATTTATCTATTGATTAATCTATGTTAACAGAAAATAAACAAACAATCATTCAGAATAATAGATGCATTCATATCAGCCAGGCTTACTTACTGGGCTTTAATGAAAAGGCCCATATCGGCCCATAAAACGGTAGACCTAAAGGGAAATTAGGGTTTCTGAAGCAGGAAACTGGAGGCGGCCACTATATATGCTAATGCTCTTGCTTGTTTGCAAAGTCGTATTCTTGATGGTTCTCAAAGCCGATTCGTTATCTTTCAATTGTTTTATATCGTTGATGTTAGTTTAAGCAATTAGTGGTTTTTGTTTATTTTGTTAATGGGTTGATTTTTGAGTAAGAGAAAAGATGCCTCTTCTTTCAGCAGCAAGATCCATACTTGTTAGCTTTGTTCTGGAGGCACATATCAATTCGCCATTATGAGAGGGATCTTTATAATTTGCTGAGTTGTTTCCTCCTTCTTTGCTGATTATCCCTCTCTTTGGTACATAATTTTTCCTTCTATAATGAAAAGTTCTTGCTCTTGAGATTTCCATGAAAAAAAACATGATGGTGACAAACGCGACTAAATAAATGAATTAAACTGCGGTTATGTGGGATATTGAAAGCTGTCATGAGCATCCTAAGGCGTTTCAAAGCATCGCACTAAACCGATGTTTTAAGTAAAATCTTGTGTATAATAAGATTCCATTATCATGGGTATCCAATGATTTTTCTAGATAATCCTGTTTTCAGAGTTGAAAGACAATTTGTGCTAAATTGATAATTTCTTTTGATCAGCAATTGAAAATTCCAAGTTTTTCTTCCGGATAACAAAATTGATTTAAGAAATTTTTAGCATATTAATACAAATAATTAACGAAGTTGAAACGTGAATTGATATATATGTTAATAAAGTTTCGAGGATACATGAGAAGAAACTCAAAACTTGAGACTAATAAGAATCAAACACTGCCATTAGAGATAGGAATCTGCAGTGGGTTAGTCTCCAAGAGAAAAGATTTGAGATGTTTAAGAAACGTTTTGGGTCTCTCGAAATTAAAGATATGACCGGTTCTCTTGATGATAACGAGTCTCCCATTGTCTCCTAAATGTTTCTCAAGTCTCTTGCCCATCTCTAATGGGAACACTTGATCATGCTCTCCCCATATTATCAATGTTGGCTGCATTCATTTGTATAGAATTAAAACTCGAATGAAGATTTATGACAAATTTTGGAGGAAGAAGATTGAACCTGTGTGAGCTTTGGAATCTCTGAGATTATTCTGTCCTTTGGAATAGCTTTGATCAGTTCTCTCTTCTCTTCCATATTATCTCTAGTCAAAGCCTGTTTCGTTTCACATTGTTTTAGCTTTATTCACCAAGTAAGAATATTTTCTTCTTATTGGTACACGAATATATAAAGTTTACTCATTTTTACCGTTTCATTCAATAAAGAACTACCAAATAAATCATTTAAGATCTCTGAAAATGAAAATATGTTGTTGATAGATCTAACGAACCCATATAATAATTAAGAAATTCTTCAAAAAGACAAAAACAAACCAACCAGACAATTTTTCTTTTGAATTACAAGTTGACAAATATAAGTACATTATCTTCAAACAGATATTAGAATCTTTAAAAGTTCAAATCTTACTATTTCTAAACTATATTCGCACTTACTAGATTTTCATCATTTAAATAACTTTTTCTTCTTTACGCTTTTTCGTATCGTATATGTTCTTAAGACATATAGACACGTGTCGCAATATGATTTGGTTGAAGAAGTAAAAAAAGAAGAAAGTAGCTTACATGTTCGATGAAATCATGGAGAAGACAAGAAGGAACCAGTCTCGCCAACGCCGGCTTGTAAAAGATGTAACCCATAAGTTCCCGGAGCTTTTTCACAGATTCCGGCACAAGAATCTTCGAAGCTTCATCAAGATCCGACACCTTGAAAACGCCGGCTTTCATATCTTTCTCCTCCACGCACACGGCGGCGCAACAAATCACCACCTTCTCCACGGCGTCTGCGTACATAGCCGCCATTCGATAACCCACGAATCCGCCGTAGCTAAGACCGACGAGACTGAATTTTTTCACGGATTGGGCTTCTAAGGCCCGCATGAGTGTTTGGGCCTGAAAGATATCGGATCTTTCGGGTCGGGTCGTGGAGGATCCGCCGAAGAAGACTAGGTCGGGGATGTAGAGGTTGAAGTGACGAGAGAGACGTCGAGCTACGTCGTACCATTGCCAGATGGCAGTAGCTCCAAGGCCGTGGATGAGGAGGAGATTGGGTTTGGGTTTGGACTCGGGTTGGGTTTTGGATACCCAAAAGTTGACTACGGTTCCATCTTTCAAATCGATGGTTACGGGTCGTAGACCGGATCTTTTGAAACCGGATTTGTAAGTTCGTTCTATTGCTTGAGACAAGCTAAAGAAACCTGTCATTACAAAAGAATAAAAAAGTGAGGATACAAGAAAGAAAAAGATTTTGAGTTGAAAGATATTGTGGTGTGTTGTGTTTGGTTCTCTGGTATTGGTTGGGAGATTTATTACGAATGAGCACATTTGATTATTAATATTAATAAATTGAAAGAGACTATTGAAATGTGGTTATAAGTTGTAACAGTGGAGTCGCATCACATGTAAATAAATAAATAATTTACGAATGTCTTATTTGTGTGAAGAGAAAAGAAAAAGGAAACGTTTTTATCGTTCCTCGTAAATTGTTTTTTTTTTTAACTTTGTTATATTCGTATACTATCTATTTTTATTTCAAAAGATTGCATGTGTACATATTATTATTAGTAAGAGAAATAAGATTTTTTTACTACACTCTTGATTATTGAGTATTTTCGATATCTTGGGAAAAAACGAATTTGAATATGTTATGTGTGACCTAATGTATAGTCTTTATTTGGAGGTACAATCAAATGTAATTTATGTGTGATAAAAAGTAGATGGCACCAATGTTACAAAAATCTTTGTATCTAAAATCGATAAGGCAAAAAAAAAAAAAAAAAAAAAAAAAAAAAAAAAAAAAAAATCGATAAGGCACGTGGTTAGTCTTAAATGTGAACATAAGGTTGTGACAGTGCGTAGGTTGGGAAATTAAATTCGAGTATCTGACAAAATTTTCAAGTTTTTTTTTAAAAGAAAAGTATTAGAATGGGTTCCTATTAGAATGAGACCAAGATGTTGAAGACCCAAAATTATATAGACGACTTGTGAAAGACAGAAGAAACTAGAAAGCTTTGTCAATTTCGGTTAAAAGAGTCTTTTTCTTTGTCAAAGTTTGAAGAGTCTTGAATCTGCCAATACTCTAGAAGAATGACAAAAAAAAAAACATTTTTTCACTTCCTCAGTTTAAGCGTATCGTTATATGTACATCAATTGCTGACCAAATTTTAATTAGAGTTAAGGACAGGTTACGAGGACAACCAATTGAAGACAAATTGGTAGATATGTTGGTATAGCATGTATCAAGTTATTAGTGACGTGGCTTCATATTGTACAAAGTGACGTGGCTTCCATTTGTTATGCTATGTTTTTACAAAGTTCTATAACTAATTAGTGCCGATCACAATTGTGTGGAATAACTTTATGAATAAAATGGAAATGAAAGGAATGAAAATGATAGATGAATAATTTTGCTCCACTCATACTTCTTTAACTAGGATAGATGAACAATTATTCATAACGGAATTTTTTTTTTTGTTTCGTTCACGTTTATTGTGTAGAATCAATCAATATAACTTTTTCCATATATTTTCATTACGAAATAAAGTTCCCAAAAAAACTAGGAATTGATTCTACCATGTGTAAGTGTAGCCTTTATTTACCGTAACTCATATTAGTTTCGATATTACTTTACCGTACGATTTTATTGTCTACTACTTACTTAGTTAATAATAATAGCCAATATAATGCATTATTTGTTCAACAATGTTTATTAGAAATTATATAAAAATAAATTTAACAATCTATATATCATTCACACATTTTGACCCAACCAAACCAAAGCACAAAGACTAATTGAGTTCTGTAAACAATCAAACCTTCTAGTTAATCACGACCAATGATTTATCTTCATCGTCTCAAAAGACATGTTTTTTTTTTTTTTTTTTGGTAAAAGGTTAAGTTTTATACCAAATTTTCTGATTTTCTCTGTACAAAGTTTAAGCAACAAAAGAAAAGAACTAGAAAGAGAAATTGATACAGCCAAAGTAAAATGCAAGTAGAGAAGGAGAGCTAGAAGAAGTGCCAGGATAGGAGAGCAAAGTGTCTCTTAGAGACTGGTCCAGAGAAGCTTGAATGACAGTTGAAGCAGTGGAGACGGAGGTGAAGATCCTAGCGTTACGCTCACGCCAAATGAGATAGCACGCTGATTGAAGAAGGAGCTTGTCTTGTTTTAATCACTCAAAAGACATGTTCTAATCGTTTGTCTTGTTTTTCGGGATTTCAAGATCCAATAGTTCTGCAAAAATTACAATTTTAATTAGTTTAAAAATTAGCTCATGAAAGAAAAAGCTTGAAAAACTTTCACTGCGAACTAAACGTATATAACCATTACCATCGCATAAAGTCCATGCAGAAAGATTGTATTTAAGCATCTCTATGATATATATGCTCTCTTCACATGTTTTCTTGTCAAGGCCATCAAGTTCAGCGATTGCTTCATCGTAAGCTTTCTTAACCAATTTACATGCGCTGTATAAATTCACATATTACTATTAGATACTAAAAAAAAACTCTAAAAATTATTCGTTTAAATTTACTTGACAATGAAAATATAAATAGTTAAATATACATATTTTATTTAAACACCGCACTTATTTTATTATTAAGCAAATGTGATATTACCTTTCAATAGATTTAAGGATCTCATAATTGAATATCGAGAAGTTTAAAGCCAATCCAAGTCTAACCATATTGGTGGGTGCTAAACTATTCTCTGCCATTTCCATTGCAACCTATAAAGTGTATGTTTTTTTCATGTCTTTTCCATGTTTTTTCCAAACTAATATATGGAAGAAAATATAACAAAATAAAATATTAAAGTTGAGGGAAAACCATGATTGAAAGAGGACCTTATATGCTTCCAGAGAATTATCCGCATTTTCTTTACGTTCAGCATCAGAACCAAACTCTGCCATATATCGAAAATAATCTCCTTTCCTACATATACCAAGAAACAATTTAACAAAAAGATTTTAAAAAAAAAAACAAAAAAAAAAGATGATCATGATGATGATAACGGAATATGACTTACATTCTGTTAAAAAGGACAGTTAATTCGACATTAGTAGTTGATGGTATGAGATGAGAATCAATGAGAGACAAAATGTCATTACAAATTAAACATTGTAAAACTCATATTTAACCATTTCTTGTTGTCTTTTTATCAATTTCACATTTTGGT